TGGTGGATTTTAGAACCATTATGAAGTTCTAATTCATAAGCCACCTGTCCTATCTTTCTGATAATTCGATAAGACTCATATATTTGGTAGACAATTTGGAGTTGACCCGTGTAGCTATGGAGTGTTGTTTATATAGTTGAGTTTTAAATACACCCAGTCTCCCATTTGGAATTCTCTTTCAGTTCTGTGCTAATCGGCATAAAATTCCATCCTTGCCCTGGCTTCAACCAATTGTTCTTTGAGTAATTGGTCCATATGATGCCTTTCTTGCACCAATTCATCTACTGCTGCAATGTTAGTAAGCTGATAAGGCTCTAAGGCTAGCTGTGTTGGCTTGATACCATACAAGGTTTCAAAAGGGCACATCTTGATGGCTATGTGATAAGTAGTGTTATACCACCCACCACTCTGCCAATTATAAACAGTTATTCCACTGTTTAGGTTGATGAAAGGTCATGCAATGCAAGTACATCCCTAAACTCTGATTGAGTCTTTCTATCTGACCATCCGTTTGGGGATGATATGCAGAACTTAGATGCAGTTCGGTCCCCAATAATTTGAACAGCCCTTGCCAAAACCTACTGGTGAATATATTGTCTCTATCTAATACCATACTTTGAGGCATCCCATGTAACTTAAATGTTATCCGGGAATAGTTTGGCTATAGTAGAAGCTAAGAAGGAGTGGGCTAAGGCAACGAAATGCCCAAACTTTGTGAACATGTCTACTGCAACCAGGATTATTATCTTACCCTTGGAAGAAGATAGTCCTTCAATAAAATCCATGGAGATATGACTCTAAGAATAATGTGGCTCAGGGATAAGTTGCAATAAACCAGGGTAGGGAACATATTCCCTTTTACATCTTTGGCAAACATCACACTGCAACATACGTCTTTTGATAGCCTTGATCATTCCAGGCCTAAAGAAATGTTGCTTGGCTCTATAGACACTGGCTTGTATGCCTGAATGGCCACCATTTTGTGAAGAATTAATATTTTGTATCAGCTTGGCTCTAATATGTCCACCTGACCCCACATACAACTTTCCTTTGTACTGGAGTAGTCCATTTTTATAAGAATAGTTAGAAACCTCTTTAGGCTTGATTAGTTGTTCTTCAATTAGCCATTTCATCTCCCTGGTAACTATCCATCACTTTTTGCATCCAAATAGGAATAATTGGGATATAGAGGTAACATCTACTTCTGCTTCTTCCCTTCTTGATAAAGCATCTACCACAATATTCTCAGTCCTTTTTTATATGGGATTTCATAGCTGATCCCAAGGAGTTTTGTCAGCCATTTTTGTTGGAAAGGGGTGATGATTCTCTGCTCAATGAGGTATTTTAATAACTGATGATCTATCTTAAGTATGAAGTGGTGCCCTTCCAGATAATGCCTCCATTTCCTTACTGCTGTGACCAGTGCTAGCAACTCTTTTTCATAGATGAATATCCCTAACTTCTCATTGCTTATGCCCTTACTCATATAGGCAATAGGTATCTTTCCTTGCATCAATACTACTCCCATTCCTCCAGCACAAGCATCTGTTTCAACAATGAATGGTTGGTTAAAGTCTGGTAATACAAGAACTGGGGTATTGTACATGGCTATTGTCAATGCTTGAAAGGCTATCTCATCATCATCATTCCAACTAAAGCTGTCCCTTTTAAGGAGATCTGTTAGAGGCTTAGCCAGAACCCCATACCCTTTGACAAATTTTATATAGTAGTCTGCTAGACCAAAGAAACCTCTCAACTGTTTTACAGTGTTGGGCCTAGGCCATTGTTGCATAGCACTCACCTTTTGTAGATCAGTTGATACCCCTACAGCTGATATAATATGTCCTAGATATCCAAAAGAACATTTAGATTCCTTGGCATACAAATTTTTTTCCTCAATACTTATAGCATAATGGACATGTGTTTGCAATGGGAATTTAAATTGGAACTGTATACTAAAATATCATCGAAGAAAATCAGAACAAATTTCCTTAAATAAGCTTTGAAAATCTCATTCATCAAGCTTTGAAATGTTGCTGGGGCATTGGGCCTTACCTTAAATTCATATAGTCCCTGGTGCATTTTGAATGCTATTTTGTGGATATCAGTCTCGACCATTCTAATTTGATGATATCCAGCCCTCAAATCTATTTTGGAAAACCAATTAGAGCCATGAAGTTCGTCAATTAGTTCACAATTAATAGTATGGGATATTTGTCCTTGATAGTTAAGCTGTTCAATTGCCTGTAATCCACACAGAATCTCCAAATGCCATCTTTCTTCTTAACCTATAGTACAGGTGAGGCAAATGACTGTTGCTTTGTTGGATAATCCCTACCTCCAATATCTTTTTCACCATCCTTTCTAGTTCAGCCTTCTATACATAAGAACACCTATATGGCCTTATTTTAAAAATCTGTGCTCCTTCCTCCAAAGGAATTTTGTGATCATTAAAGTTGGGAAGGGGCATTCCTTTTGGTTCTACAAACACGTCCAAATACTGCTCAAGGATAATCTGCACCACTATAGGGATTTAGGTGTTTTCTCCTTCCTTGATTGCTTAAAGTTGAGCTATAATTCCAAAAGGTTGCCTGCGAATCCACTGATTCATCTATCTTTCTTCCATCATCAGAAGTTCTTCATTCATGATTACACTCTTCAACTCCACCACCATCCCTTGGTAAGAGAATTTGATACTACTTCGTTGGAAATCAAACACCACTGGACTGAATTAGCTATTCCAGTCTACCCCCAACACCATATCACTTTCCCTTAACCTCAACACCATCAGCTAAAATTGACATTCCATTCCTTGCATGACTTAAGTAAGGAGATTACAAATGGCAGTGCTATGTAACTTGTCTCCATTGGCTACAGTAACTGTTACAGATTGAGTTGGTTCTGTTTTACACTTCAACTCCCTTACTTACTTCTCATCAATAAAGTTATGGGTGTTGCCACTGTCAATGAGGATTGACACCTCCCTTCTCCTTACCTGGCTTAGGATTCTGATGGTTTTCGGTTTCAGACTGTCTGATAGGGCATTAATGGAGATTTCTATAATTTCTTCATTCCCTTGCCCTTCACTTTGCTTAGTAGTTTTCTCGTCTTCTTCAGTTTTCCTTTCTACTTCCTCATCCACCAACATGAAGTTTAACATTCTATTTTTACATACATGTCCAGGGGTATATTTCTCATCACATCTGAAACATAATCCTAGGCTCCTCTTGGTTTGTATATCCGTGGGGGTGATTGTTTTAAATCTCAAGGGGTTGGTTTAGGTTCTTTGAGGTTGTTTAATACCATTGGTGGAAGGAATTTTTGGGTTGATTTCGGTGGTTTTTTGTAGTAGGTTAGGCCATTTAGAGGAATAACTGAGTTTGGCTGGGTTTTTTGTGTTTTTGTTTAAAGGTAGCATAGTGTTTTCGTGTAAGAGGGCTATTTCAAGGGCTTGGGAGATAGATGTTGGCTTGATAATTTTCACTGTAGATCTGATTTCCTCTTTCAATCCACTATTAACAATGGAGATATAATAAGATTCAGGAATGTGGGAAAGGGACAACATCACCTGGGATTAGATCCTTAGAGAGTTCCTGATATTCAGCCACTGTCCCTCTTTGCCCGATCTAACTGAAGGTTTCTATAGCTTCTTCCCCTGTAACCTCTGCAAATAAGCACACTTCCTTAGAGAATAAATCCCAATCAACATTGGGGTTGCTATTGATGAAGCCATGGAACCATGCATCTGTTTTTCCTTTTAAATACATCTCAGCAACATTGATTCTCACTTCATCAGGAATTTGATGAATCTGAAAGTATTTTCGAGCGTTCCTCAAACATTCTCTAAGCCCCTCTCCACTAAAATAAGGAAAATCAATCTTAAGTAGTTTTCCTCATCCTCTCACCTCATCACCATTGGTATTACTACTCGACGCGGATCCCAAGCATGGTGTGAGTAGTCCCTTACCATTGTAAATCTGAACTGGTGAACTCACTCTCTGCTTGTCTTTAGATTCTCCTTTTTACCCCATCATTTGGGCCATCATTGCTACCAATGATTCATGGTTAGCATTCAGCTCCTTTATCATCATCTCCACACGGTCAAGCTTGTTACAAAAGGCCATTAATGTTTGGTCTGAGGTCTCCACTTTTTTACCCACTTCATGTACAGTTTACCCAAACCCTCAACTTCCCTGTCCAACTTTTTTAGATGTTCCTCTACCACTTTAGCTTGAGTATCCATACCCAGATCTGTAGCTACTCTGATACCACTTCTAATGATTGATTAAATCAAAACCAAATAATTCCAACAGGTTACAACGAAATTCAATTCACAATTCACAGAATTCAGCTGTAATTCATTACCCAAACTGTAATGCTATTCCACTGAAATTTGTTAAATGAAATACAGATGAATAGAATCAGAAGGGAGTGAGGATTTTAGAGAAAGACACATAAGAAAAATGAGTTCTGATATTCAACAAACTCCCCCATTCTCTCCTATGGTTTAAGTAGTACAGAAAATGTGTTTTGGAATTCATAAAACGTGATGTGCTAAAACAATTAAATGGGAAAAACTAAACGGTGTCGTTTTCGGATTCGAAATTCTGGTAATGCCGTTGAGACCTTTTCTTGTTTTTTCCCCATGAGCCCTTCCCGCATCTGATTATGACAGAAAATGCGCAATAGTTAGGACTTGAAAGCCATCATGAACAAACCTTGTAAAAATTGGCCCTTTTCAACGTAATTGAGTTCTTGATTATAAGAGTACATTAAATTTCAGAACTAGATTGAAAATGACAATTGGTTCGAGTACAAAAGTTTTGAGGTTTCAACCTATAAACTAAGAACTTTTTAACGCGCCTTTTATTGTATGCTTTCTATCGTGACAGACACGATATATGTTAGACTAAAGAACATAGCAAACTAATAGAATCCCATAATTATCATATGCACAGAGAACACATTGTGTTATGCTCTTAATCTAAAACTCTGGAATATTAAGGTTGCCCTCTTGTCTCCAGGTAATATGCCAGGATCACATATCTTATCTTCTTCAATGCTACGACAACTTCTTTCATATTCACCCTCTCATTTGCACTTTCCATGGAGCAATTTAAAGCTAGTTCCATTATTGATGATAAACGTTTCAAATTTCTATGTAATAATCTTCTTTTGGAGCCAACAAGTTCGAATCTATAATTTGAGTAATAGCATTGGGCATATAAGCATTTATCCAGCTCCTCAGGCTTAATTCTCCAGAAAACTTTTCGCTGCTTGGTTTCATACTGGTAAATATTTCCATTAACATGATACCAAAGCTATAAACATCTGATCTTATTGACACCAATCCTTCCAATCCATACTCTACACAAATATTATGAAATCTATGAGTTGTGTCGTGTTCGAAGCTATATTGTATAAGAAATATAATATATTTTACAAAATAATTTTCTGTATGTAAATATTAATGCTGCTAACCAGATGACAATTGAGGACGAAAATTATAGAAATAAGCAGATATTGAATCCTTCATGGGCCATTTCCTCATGCCATTTACTATGTTTTAAGTATAGTCCACCTTCAACCCATGTTCCCACACTAACTATCTTAATACAAGGACCTATTTAGCCAAGAAAAAATAAACATGTTGGACTAAACTTAACTCTTATTTTTTATTTTTTATTCTTTTTATAACAAACGTACCTAAAAGTTCAAGAGAAAAGATAGAAGCTTTACCTAGTGCAATCCAACAGTACATTACATGTCTTTAAATCACAATGAACCATCTGTGTTGAGTAACCATAGTTCAGATATTCCAACGCACATGTTATGTCTATCATTATGTTAATTCTCTGCTAGCCATCCAAGACATAGCTGTCTGAATATAACCACTTCTCGAGGCTTCCATTAGATATGTACTCGAGTACCAAAGCCTTGAAATCTAGATTGGAGCAAGTACTATTGCACAAATTCAAGACATCACATTCTATATAAAAACTCTTGAATGAATTTTGGTGTTGCAAATTGAACACCTTCACTGCCATATCCCTTCCATTATTAAGAGTCCCTCGATAGACAAAGCCAAAACTCCCTGATCCAAGTAAATGGCTTTCACTATACCCTTCAGTTGCTTTTATAAGCTCATAATATGAGACCCCTTAATAGAGTTGTGCGAGGTGCAAAGTTTGTTATACTTTCCCCCAAATTTTTCCTTCTGTACCTTTTAACTGCACATGCGAAGGCCATGGCAACTATAATTAGTGCTATAGTACCCGCAAAGCAAATACAACTCCTAGCATCACTTTACGTCTCCTTTGTTTACCATTTCCAATAGTATGACATGGTGGGAGACCATATATAGGATAACCACATAGTCCTTTATTAGACATGAAGAATCGACTTGGAAAGTTTTTGAAAGGACCACAAGAGGGAACTTCACCACTTAAATCATTGAATGAAACATCAAAGTATATGAGATAATTAAGTGTCTCCAAGGACTTGGAAATTTTACCAGAAAGATTGTTGTGATTTAGATCGAGTGAGTCCAAGTTCAGCAACTTACCCATTGACTCGGGAAAAACCCTTACAGTGTGTTATGTGCTAAGGAAAGATTGACTAAGCTCTGTAAATCTCCAATTGTGGTTGGAATGCTACCTAAGAACTGATTAACTGATAGATCAATAAGAGTTGCAACCTTCAGATTCCCAATTTCTTGCGGGAGACTGCCACTCAAAAAATTTGAAGATAGATTCAACTCCAGAAGATCTTTCCAGACCCACAGGCTCGGAGGTATGATGGAGGTCAATCTGTTGGAATCTATATATAGAGACCTTAGTGTAGTAATATCCCCCATGCAGTCTGAAATGGTACATGTTATTAGATTATGAGACAACAACAATCCATTTAAATTGTAAAGTTCACAAAGAGTATCTGGGATAGATCCACTTATTTTGTTGCGGGAAAGAGCTAATCCTTGAAGCTTTTGCAAATCCACCAAGCTTGCTGGCATTGATCCTGTTAACTGATTGCCATACAGACTTAACACTATTAACCTGCTGAGATTTCCATTTTCATTTGGAATGCTACCTCTAAGATGACAATTATAACCATAAAGATATTGAAGAGAAGTGGAAAGATTTCCAACTGAAACTGGAAGAATGCCACTTAAGGGATTATCTTTAAAACCCAACTTTATTAAAAATCTACAGTTCGTGAATGAAGTGATGAAGCTCAATTCTGGAGATTCACTAATAAAATTGTTGCCACCCAAGTATGCAACTTCAAGGAATCTTAAATCTCCAAAGAAGTTGGGAATTGGTCCAGTAAAATTGTTGAAAGAAAGGTTTATTATAGTGAGTTCAGAAGAATTTGTAATAGAATTTGATATTCTTCCATAGAAATTATTTTGGTTCAAATAGAGTTCTTCAAGATTAGGAAGCTCATAACCCAAAATCAACCTATCAAGATTGCCCGAAAGCTGATTTTCTGGAAAATTCTTGGTGGAATAGAACTGCTTAAGCTATTGACACCAAAATAAAGATACTCCAAGTTGTAAAGGTTTCTGATCTCTTTGTCGGATTATACCTACAAAATTATGAAGAGCTCAAACTTTAAGACGACAACTTTCTTTAAATTGATGTATAAAAATACCAAGGACAAACACAAAAGTTATGTTATTTCTGTTAGATATTTGCCTCATTTAGTCAATGTTGGTGGCTTAAAGGATAATTGGCATGCTTTCTTCTTGGTTAAGATTTGAGAAGTCAAGGAAGGAAGAGAATTTGGAATTGAAGTCTCTACTTCCACCTCCTTTCTTCCACCTCCTTTGGCCTCTATAAATAGATGTCTCCTCTCTTCTTTTAGTCATCCCATCCTTGAGAGAAAAATATTATAGTTTGGAGAAAAGAAAAAGGTTTAAGGCTATTGAAGTATTTTTATTCTTTGTAATACTTTGGGATTGGGTTGGTGAGTGAATTCTATATGATTGTAATAATTTTTCATATAGTGAAAAACATTTGACGGTCCAATTGTGCATTATATTATTTATTTTTCTTTACTTGCTAATATTTTTCTGAAAAACAAAAGATCCTGCGGGTAATAGGAAGAAAGGAAATTGGCGTAAATTTCCCAATTTCCCAACAATTTCTAACATTCATAACTATAAGTTCGGGCAAGAAACCAAACCAAGACGGAACTTGTCCACTGAAATTGTTGAAACTAATATCAACTGTTCTTAGTCGACGCAACTGAGCTGAGTTTTCAGGCAATCTATTATAAAATTATTGCGACTTACATTGAGAGAGACAAGAAAAGAGAGATTTCCCAATTCAGGCTGTATGTTTCCAGTAAGATTCATACCAGAAATGTCCAATGCAGTCACTCTCTGGTTGTGAGAACTACAAGTAACTCCAATCCAATCACAAACTAAGGTAGAAGAAGACCAGTTCTTTGACAGAGTTCCTGTAGGCTTTAAACTGATGTGTGCTGTCAAGGTCAAAAGATAAGCTTGATATGTAGTGACATTTTTTGACATAGCCAAACACACCATTAGAGTGACTATCAAATGAATTTCAGAAGGAAATTATTTAAATTTCTCCATGGTTGTGTCTAGTTTGTAGAATCTGGGTTACTGGGCTCTATATGTGCAACGAGAACTGGATCACTACAAGAAAACAAAACATGCTTTCTTTGACTTTTTGGATTGTGTGTTTGATGAATATTATTGAGGAAAGAATGTATTTTAATTTTTAAATAGTGATATGATGAGAAATATGTGGTTAAAAAGTAAGAAAAGTTATTTATGTAATGAAAAATATTATTTTATTGAATAATGTGTGGTTAAAAATGAGTTTTGAAAAAAATATATTTTGAAATAATGTGTACCAAACAAGGGCTTAAATTAAATTTCTTTCTTTCTTATTATTTATTAGATATACTTTTTTATACTTTTAATCTAGAGGAGATCATTTTAGTTAAAAAAGAAAAAACAATTATAACTATTGCTATTAAATTTAAAAAATTATAAAATGGATTTTTTTTAAAAAATACGGTTGATAAATAATTAACAAGCCGGCATAATTTAATATTTAAAAAGAGATTAATAAAGTTAATTGAAATACATTAAATATGCAACTGCATACGCAATAAAAAAGAGAATACAATAAGACCAATTAATCGACAAAGCACTAAGCGTAGGAAACTGTATTGCCTGTTTTGGTAATAAAGTAGAAAATAGCACAATCAACATTGATATAGGACAGTGTTAATGATTCTCCGCAATAGTCAGCTACTTAACGTGCACCCTCCCAGAACGTCGACCCCCCTGAGGGGTTCTACTCTCACATAGGCTGTCTACCATCACAAGGTCGTCGACCCCCCTGAGGTGCTCTACACTCACATGGGCCATCTACCAATACTAAGCTGTCAACTCCCACTATACTTAGCCAAATAAATGGCCCTGAGATAGACGAAAACCACAACGCGGGAATAACCAACCGCTAGACGAGTGGGGGTTGATGCTATAGAACGTGGGGGAGTGGGAAAATACACGTGGGACACGTGGCACAACAAATCGTGGAACATGGGCGTGCCATCCGGTGCCTATAAATACCCCAATGTGGGAAAAGGTATGGACTCTTGAAACTCGAACTATCTGAATTCCAATTATACTATTCTCATACTCCTTAAACCGAATATTGATTCTCACACCGGATGTACAACAGGGCAAAAACCCCCGACCTCATTTTGCAGGTAGAAACCGTTGATTGGAATAGCTGGAGCACCGTACCAGACAAGGTGAACTCGTAACCATTTCATTGACGCCGTCTGTGGGAATACCACTAAACAAAAAAGCTATGTCAAGAAGACAAACACAAAGTGAAACACGCATAGTCGGGAACATGGTGGATGCGGAGTTGGACTCTGTTGCGAGGGGTCATGATCCGCCACCACCACAGTATGTAACGCAAGGCCAATTTAATGCTTTGGAGACACAATTAGCGACCATGATGACCATCTTGCAGAACCAAATACAGAAAATCGTAGCCCCACCGCAGAGTTCGTCGGAAGCCGTACGCGAGCAACCACCCCAGGTGGCGTAGACGGTTACCCCACCTGCTACTCAGCCAACAATAGGAGACATGGGGGCTTCCAATTTAATGAGGCTCTATGCAGTGCCAGACGCAGTGATGTGTAGGTCGTTCCCCCCCACACTTAGGAAGGAAGCAAGAGACTGGGTAGCCACACTGGCACCCAGGTCTATAAAGACTTTTGATGAGCTCTCCAGGAGCTTCGTTGCATACTTCAAGAGCAGCAAGAAAAAACAAAAGGCAGCCCATGGATTGATGCAGGTGGTACAGGAGAAGGATGAATCTTTGTAGGAGTACTTGGCTAGGTTCAGCCGGGCAACCCTTGGTATAAGGGATCTTCAAATGTCTGTAGTAGTGACAGCATTAATGAACGGGACGCGGAACCGGGCCTTCAAAATGTTACTCTCCAAAAACCCTCTGAAGTCAATGCATGACCTGTTGAAGAAGGGTGGCAAGTATGTTGATGCAGAGGAAGCCAGAGGGTTACGAAAATTTGAAAGAAGGATGGGAGACAGCAGGCCACAAGCGAAAGTCAGGTGACGAGCGAACATTTATTGATAAAGGCAAATCAAGGAATGAGTGCACGGGCAAAGGATATGTTCCGGATCGATCCATCAGAAAAAGACGAGATGAGGACAAGGCCTTCACCCCCCCTAAATATACCCCGGGCCAAGATATTGATGGAGATCAAGGATATGAAAGAGCTTTACTGGCCGAGACCGATGGCAGCATCCGCCAGGAAAAGGGATAAGAGCAACTATTGTCATTTCCATAAGGATCATGGGCATGATACGGAAGAGTGCAGAGGAAATTGAATACCTATTGAAGCGGGGGTATACCAGAAATGATCGAGAAAAGCAGAAAGTTGATGACCGACTACCGCCCATGGCCGGGGTCATAAATGTGATTATTGGGGGATCACATTAGGGGGAGACTCGAATTCGACTAGAAAGAGCTACGCACGCACAGTCGGGGTCTGCTCTATTCAGAAAAAGGCTAGGTTTAATCAAAGTATCACTTCTGATGATGAAGATTTAGTAGGAGTGGTGGCCCCCCATGATGATGCCTTGGTGATAGTCGGCGACATAGCAGACTACGATGTCAAAAGGGTGTTGGTGGATGGTGGAAGTGCTGCGAATGTTCTCACCTGGAAAGCTTTTATGGGGTTGAAAATTCCTTTAGAAAAGTTGAAAGCAGTGTTCACCCCTCTCCTGGATTTGAAGGAGCTACCGTGATACCAGAGGGAGCAGTGGAATTACCGATGAGGTTGGGTACCTATCCTGCAATGGTGGTGATCTTGACAAATTTCTTGGTTGTCAAAACCCCCATGGCGTATAATGCAATCTACGGTAGACCCTTGTTAAATACTGCTCGGGCAATTCCCTCCACCTACCACCAAGTGATGAAATTCCCGACCAGTCGAGGTGTGGGGAGCATGAGGGGCGACCAACAGTCTTCGAGGAAGTGTTATGTTGACAGTATGTGGATGAAAGAATCACCACCAATAATGATGCTGGATCTTGAGCCTCCAAGGGCTTGGATTGAGCCCCTCAATACTACGAAAAAAAATTTAGTGGCTGGAAGGCGTGAATTCAGCATAGAGGCAAACCTGGGGCCTAGAGAAAAAGAAGAATTGGTAAAATGTCTGTCTAACAATTTAGACTTTTTTGCATGGTACCTGAGCGATATCCAAGGGATTGATCCCTCGGTTGCACAACATCGCCTTGGCATTCTGCCGGGCGCTGAGCCAATCAAACAGAAGAAAAAAAACCTTATCCCAGAGTGGCAAGCTGCGGCGAAAGACGAGGTCGAAAAGCTACTACAGGCAGGGTTTATTAGAGAGGTACAATACCCCGAATGGTCAGCGAATGTTGTCCTGGTGAAGAAGTCGAATGGAAAATGGCGCATGTGTATAGATTATATCAGACTAAATAAGGTATGTCCAAAAGACTCGTACCCTCTACCCAGAATAGATCACTTGGTGGATGCCACATCAGGTCATGAACGACTAAGCTTTCAAGATGCATTTTCTGGTTACCATCAGATCTCTATGGTAGAGTCAGACCAGGAGAAGACCTCTTTCATAATCGATGCTGGGACGTACTGTTATACAGCCATACCATTTGGTTTGAAAAATCCTGGAGCTACTTACGAAAGAATGGTGAATAAGGTCTTCGGCAAACTGCTTGGGAGCGTCATTGAAGCGTATGTAGATGACATGGTCATCAAGAGTATGAAGGAGAACAACCATGTTAGCGACCTACAGAAAGTGTTTGACATTGCCAGACAAAATAAATTAAAATTTAATCCGAAGAAGTGTGTTTTTGGAACAGCAGGAGGTAAGTTTCTGGGTTTTGTGATAACACAGAGAGGCATCGAACCAAATTCGGAAAAAATTCGAGCCATTCTAGAGAAAGAGCCTTGAAAATCGGAAGGATGTCCAAAGGTTAATGGGCTGGGTAGCGGTGTTGAATCGTTTCATGAGTCGAGCAGCAGATAAGTGTTACCACTTCTTCAAGGCGATTGGGGGCTCTACCAACTTTGAATGGACCAAAGAGTATAAGGAGTCGCTTGAATCCTTAAAACAGTTATTACAGCAGCTACCGATCTTGACTAGACCATGTGCAGGGGATGTATTGAGTTTATACTTAGCATTTCAAAACATGCAGTCAGTGCAATGCTGGTGAAAAAATTCCCGAATGTGCAGAAGCATGTTTATTTCGTTAGTCGGGTGTTCAGGGGTGTAGAAACTCGCTACAGCCTCGCAAAGCAGTTGGTATTCGCCTTAATTGTAGCAGTCAGAAAGTTAAGGCCATACTTTCAGTCTTACACTGTACAGGTCATGACGGATCAGCCTGTCAAGCAAATTTTACATCGACTCGAGACGTCGGGTAGGATGTTGAAGTGGGCGAACGAGTTGAGTGAATTTGACATTGAGTTTAGGTCAAGAACGGCCATCAAGGCGCAAGCATTGGCAGATTTTATTGCAGAGTTTACAACTCCTCCTGACCAACCTGAGCAAACTAAGGCGGTTTGGAAGATCTTCGTGGATAGATCCTCACACGGCAAGGGGTTTGGAGCAAGCATCCTTATGATATGGCCAGAATATAAAGAATTGGAGCATTCATTGCACTTTGAATTTCCAGCAACAAATAATGATGCTGAATATGGGGCAGTTATCATGAGATTGAGTTTAGATGCCAGACTTGGGATAACATCAGTCGAAATTTGCACTGACTCTCAATTGATTGTAGGGCAGGTGACAGGT